TTTGAAACTGTGAGCATTTATTTAAAATAGAAATATTTTGTAACATCATGAATGTCTTTACTAACAATTTTGATCAATTTAATGCATCCTTGCTGAATAAAAGTATTAATTTATTTTACATTTGCATTTATTCATTTGGTAGACGCTTTTATCCAAAGTGACTTACATTTGAGGAATACAACAAGTGATTTATCATAAGATGGCAAAAAAACGAGAAGTGCCTGTTATACAAGGTTTCAGTCATTGTTTAAAATAGTAAAAAGCTAGGAGGATAATAAGAGAACAGAAAAAGTGAAGTCATAGATTTTTTTTATTTATTATTATTATCATTAATATAAGGCAGTTAGATGCTAACGGAAGAGATGAGGTTTCAGTTGTTTCTTGAAGATTGTGAGGGATTCGGCTGTTCGGATGGAGTTAGGCAAGTCATTCCACCAACAGGATACGGTGAAAGAAAACGTCCCTGAGAGAGGTTTTGTGCCTCTCTGGATGGGACTATGAACTGCCGCTCATTTACCGACTGCAGGCTTCTGGAGAGGATGTAGACGCATAGGAGAGACCGGAGGTAGGAGGGTGCGGAGCCCGTGGCAGTTCTGTAGGCAAGCACCAATGACTTGAACTTCATGCGAGCAGCGACCAGAAGCCAGTGCAGAGACATGAGAAGCGGTGCAAGATGGGCTGTCTTGGGCTCATTGAAAACGAAATGTGCTGTTGCATTCTGAATCACTTGCAGAGGTCTGATTGCACATGTTGGAAGTCCAGCCAGAAGAGCATTGCAATAGTCCAGCCTAGAAATGACAAGGGTCTGGGCGAGAAGCTGTGTTGCATGTTCTGTTAGGAAGGGTCTTGATCCTGATGTTGTGTAGTGCAAACCTGCATGATCGTGCTGTGATCTTTAAAGGTCAGCTGATCATCAAAGATCACCCCAAGATTCCTGGCTGAACTCGATGAGATTATCATTGATGAGCCCAGTTGGATGGTAAACTGGTGCTGGTATTTTTTTAAAAAGATCTCACTGATCCCAGAGTTTTGAAAGGTAGTGTATGCATGAGTATATTATATTGTATTTTATTATCTGCATTTAGCATGGTTTTCCCCTGCTGTTCACAGCAAGAACTGACTTGCAGCTCATTTTTGGGTTTACAACCTTGCAGTTGTACAACACTAAATCAAAGAATACTGCATTTAAAATATACTCTAATCGTACAAATAATTGGGACAACAGAGATTTGAATGGGATATGACGACAAAAGCATGGACAGATAAAAGAGATTTTGAATCTGCTAGAAATGGGGTCTACAGGGCTTGGATCAATGAGTTCAAGACGGAGAGAGTGAAGCATAAAAATCAGTCTGGATGATTTTAATTAGTAATGGACTATGTTTAAAAATTAGATTGATAGACAAAGTATGGGCATAGAACTTTTTGTCAAAAGTTTGAAACTGTGATTTCTGCCTGATGGAGTCGGAACACCATGCATCTTATTATTCAAGAGCAGAACCGTAAGGCTCAGTCTTACAGTGTCAGCTCCAGTCTAGCGTTGTAAAGGTCACCTCATCTAAGGCATTCAAAATCTTTTTCTAAGAATAGTGATAGGCCGTCTCCGGTATAATTTCAGCTTCATTTGAGCCTAGCTGCTCTGGTGAGGATAATGAATCACAGCCTATGCAACATGGTCACATCAGGGGTTTAAGGGCCAGAATAGGCCACCCAGCATTGCTTTCCATGAACTTAGACCAGGACTTTGCGGTGATAAATGTTGTGAGCCTGGGCATTATTGACCCGGAACACAACAGGAAAAAAAAAACTTGGCCATAACATTATATCAAATTGCATTGTTTATTGTTCAATTTGCCCACATAAAAAAAATCCTATACTTTATATAAAGTATAGCCTATAGCTGATTATAAATAAATCTGAGACTGACTGCCTGCTGGTCATTTAAAATTACAGGCTAATAGCCTTCTAAAGGTCAAACCTGTGTATACAGGGAATGGTTGACAGTCATTTTATCAGTACGTAGGGCACACATGGAAACCAAATAGCCAGGGACCAAGGCTGTTAACACAAAAGGTTACAGCTGCTAATGACAAACTCTCAAATATGTAATATGGAGCACTGCCATGAAATTGTTATTTATAAAACTGCCAAAAATAAGTGAAGTAACAGAAAAATAAATAAATAAAATAATATATATATATATAGCAAGAAAGAAAAAAAAAAGGTGTATAGATTATAGCTATGTTCAGAATAGTATATTAACATACACCTATAATACATATATGCAGTATAATGTATACTGTGCACAGTATGCAAATTAAACACAAAATGCATGAAATGTTCAAAATGTGCCAAAATGTTCAAATTTATTCCTGTGTTGGCAAAGCTGAATTTTCAGCATCATTACTCCTGTCTTCAGTGTCACATGACCCTTCAAATATTATTCTAATATGCTGATTTGCTGTTCAAGAAACATTTCTTCTTATTATCAATACTGACAACAGTTGCTTAATTTTTTTTTTGTGGATACCATATATTTTTTGATTTTATGAATAGAAATTTCAAAAGATCAGCATTTATTTGAAATAGATTTTTTTTTAGTAACAATGTAAAATTTAATGCATCCTGCCTTAAAGGGGTCATATGATGCTGCTAAAAAGAACATTGCCGGCGGGCTTGAGAACGGCGCGGCCGGCGATTTCGACGAAGGAGCGTCCGGAAGGACAAGTGACGACTCCGGGCTGGACTCGGCTTCGTCCACAGTGAAAGCCGATCGACAGCGCAAAGTTGTAGTATCTCCTCAGCGACCAGCACGGATCAGCTCCAGGCATGACAAAGCAGATATCGTCCTCTTTTGGAAGACCAAACAAAGTAGTTTCGCTTTTACAACGAAGCACACAGCGTCTTTACGACATGGCAGCGGAAACAACAAAACTACAGCGAGAATAAAGGTTACGCCTTCTTTCTTTGCGTGAACATTTGGACGGTGTTATGCAAATCTTCCCAGATCGTGACGTAGATATGTGGGGGCGTGTTAGAACAAGCCGTTTTAGGAGGGCGTGGCTGACTCTTAACTTTTATAAAGAATATCTCTTTGGATTTGAGACTTTAGTCTTTGCAACTTTACAGATCTTCTTTATGCACCAAGAGCTTGTAACAGTCCAAAGAGAAAGGAAAAATAGAAATTGCATCTTATGACCCCTTTAATGAAAACCCCTGCAGTAAGTAGTTAGTATTTATTCCAAACACAAGCAATAAGATGCACAGGTGTCTGCCCGCTCTCCTTACCTGGCTGTCCTACGCTGTTAAGTCTCTTCATGAGATGGCAAGCATTTGGTAACAGCAGATGCACATCAGATAGAACAGTGTCACTTCTAAATGTGATCTGGTCCATGGCCAAGGCTGCATGTCACTCTATCATGGACACAGCTCTGGGGAATAGAGCAATTTCATTAATATAGCTCATCATCCTTCTTAAATGCAGTAAAATGTCCACACAAACTTAGAGAAATTATGATAAATTTGGCATTTTACACGGATTGGGAAACTATTTTAAGACAGAACAAGTCGTCTGATGAAAACATCTGAACTGAACGCTTGTCTTTTGTTTGGGCTCGACTGAAAGCTATTGTAATCTTGTCTAAGAAATATATTGAAGTGGGGCGTGACCATTAGACTCTGACTAGTGATCTACTGCACTCAAGTCTCAAAAATCACTTTCTGATCGTTCACTTTCTCGCAGCTAAACAGAAAGAGTACGAAATTTCACGTAAGGAAATAATTGATTGCGTATCGTACAATTAGGTAAAGCAAGCATCAAGTACTGATTACTTCAAGTCTGCGCAAGGCTGTGCCTCCTAGAGAGTGGACTACTTAAGTAGCCCTTAAACCAGGTAGTCCGCTCACTTGGAGTCAGAAAGTTCAGTACTGTCTAGGTAAACAGCTCACTAGATTCTGACACACGTCTTCATACCTCGTAGTCTTCAAATCAGCTCTGGTGCAAAGAGCTGTCAATATTTACCGAGTAGTTGACGAGGAGGAGTTTACATAATTTTTGTAGTGTAGTCAAGTGCATTAAATCACACTAAAATATGAGCGTAACGATATGGTGAGATAGTTTAAATAAACGCTATACTGCAGTTTACGAGAGATTACGCTTGCACGAGTGTTACATTAAAAGCAGACCGTGTGTGAAAGAACGCTCTAAAATAGTTCCAAAGTAGAACGCGCTTGACACACACACGCACGCACACACACACAATTCATGTACATTTTTTAATTAATATTAAGCGAAATAAAACAAAAAGATTTTATTTTATTATCAAATGTTTTGACTGTTTATTTTTATGCTATTTATTATTATTAGTGATTATATAGATATACTGTAATAATCATGATTATAATAACGCCATTATTTTCATTTTATTTAGCAAATTTATAAACAAAACAATGTATATTATTATCAAATATTGTTGAGAATCTATTATTTGTTTATTACATTAATTTATATTATTATTATTATGGATATAATATCTGCTTTACTGCTATAAATTATTATTATTATTATTATTATTATTGATATTTTGTCAATAGTGAACACTTAGTTTTCTGATTTTTGATCGTACAGGAACAGAAACTTGCCTGACAACTGACTGGAGGCGTGAGCTGAAAGACTTTACAATCAAATTAATTTAGAGGTCCCTTTGATAATCATCTGATACAAACAAACAAAGGTCTGCATACTAATGAGAGAGGGGGATTGATATCATATGTAGTAATTACGACTATAACTAATCATGTTTTGTCATTTTTAATCACCAATGGCATTTATCTTATCTGTGCCACAGTTCAAAGTCAACCAGAGAGAGAGAAAGAAAGAGAGAGAGAGAGAGAGAGAGAGACAGAGAGAGAGACAGAGAGAGAGAGTGGACCATACTGCCCTCTTTTGGTAAAATCGCCCAACACTAGCTGTTAATAGATACACAGCAAAGCATCCGGCGAGGGGCTTCCAGAAGGACAACGCTGAGGGAAAGAAGAACAGTTAAAGCACTATAGAAGGAGGACTTTCTCTTCAAACACTGTAGAAAGCCGCATTCAGACAAAATGAAAATCACTTTCACAGGTTTGGCCAGTTTTGTGGCCACCTTTGGTGTCCTCAGCTTTGTAGTTCTCGTTCTGGCAATTGGAACCGATTTTTGGTACATCATTGACACTTCTAAGAGAGAAAACAGCTCATCGGTGTCTCTGAGCTCACATTCTGGACTGTGGAGGACTTGTAACTGTAAGTCACTTTACATGTTTGTGTTTGACATTCTGCTTGTGATTTTTTAATGCATGAGGTTTTCATGTAGATGGATGAAGTTATTCTCTCTTTGCAGTTCATAACCAAT